ATGATCTCATGGTTCGTCAGTTTAAGCCATACATCGGTCTCTGCACTGACAGCATGGAGCCTGCTGCTTGGGATTCTCTCCCTCCCTCTTTCTCTGCCCCTCCCCCAACTCATAAGCAAGCATTCTCATAAAATACATAAACTTTAAAATTTCAAAATTGTTTGAATTTTAGAAATGAATATAAGGGACTGTGAACCTTTACTGCTACTATTCTCATTTACAGATGAGGAAATTGAGGCTCCAAGGTGTTCAGCCACTCACCCATGTTTCCTGTCAGAATTGGGGCAGGGATTCAGACAAAGCTTTCTGGATTCAGAACTTATTATTTTAACCACGATCCAGTGCTATATTTAATTGGGAATATTAGCTTCCAAATATTAACTTACTTGGAAATAATCACAGATTCTAAATGGTGGGCTGCAAAGGTGTCTAATTTTAACTTCTCATTTGATTAACTAACATATTGAGGTACATAGTACATAACTATTTAACATTTATTCATTCAAAAGATGCTTAGCTGTCTTCTTTCATGTTCGTTTAAAGTCTGTTCCAGGACCCCCCGGGTGGCTCAGTCAGTTGAGCCTCTGACTTTGGCTCAGATCACGATCTCATGGTTTGTGAGTATGAGCCCCACAACGGGCTTACTGACATCAGCATGGAGCCCGCTTTGGATCCTCTGTCCTCCTCTCTCCCTGCCCCTACCCTGCTCATGCTCTCCCTCTCTCAAAAATAAACAAACACTTAAAAAAATAATAAAATCAGGGCGCCTGGGTGGCTCAGTAGGTTGAGCGTCTGACTTCAGCTCAGGTCAGGATCTCGCAGTTTGTGAGATCAAGACCTGCGTCGGGCTCTGTGCTGACAGCTCAGAGCCTGGAGCCTGTTTCAGATTCGGTGTCTCCCTCTCTCTGCCCCTTCCCTGCTCATGCTCTCTCTTAAAAATGAATAAACGTTAAAAAATGTTTTAAAAATAATAATAAAATCTACTCCAAATAGAGTAATTCCTAGAATGAACCATGGTAGTCCATCTTCTCAGAATCTTTATCTTGAGGAGCCTAGGCAGTAACTAATACTTAGGAAGCCTGTGTGCAGTGTGCATGGGTGTGTGAGTACACATGCACACGTACAGGAAGAGAACAGGTGTTCTGCTGGGTGGCCTTAAGAGATAATTATTCTCCAGGGAACCCCATGACTATTGGGGGTACCTGCAAAGTCAAATCCATTTTCATAATAATACTAAGGCATTATTTGTTTTTGCTCTCTTTGTCTCAGGAGTGTACAATGCAGTTTTCCAGAAGCTATATAATGTGTGATATTGCAACAAACAGTATGTTTTCCATTTATCCAGACATTTAAATAGAATTCAAAAATGTAAACAATGTCATTCTACTCTATATTTTGAAAAATACTCATTTTTATTATTCATTCATTATTCATAAAAGTGTTATTTCTGGTTAATATGTAATGAGAATTTTAGAATATATTACCAAATGTTAGTAATATTTCTATTTTAATTTCTAATACAACAAATATTAACAGACACATAAAAGCTCTTTGGGTCCACAGTCACTTTTGAATGAGAAGGGGTTCCAAGGCCAAAAACTTTGAGACCAGCTTCCTCAGGCCCCCAGAAGGAAGTGGTGGGACAGGTCTCCAATCCAAAGTGCCATCAGTTGTAGTTTTCCTACATACTTCTCTCAAGGCCACTCTGATACTAATTTTTTTTTTAATTTTTTTTTTAACGTTTATTTATTTTTGAGACAGGGAGAGACAGAGCATGAACAGGGGAGGGTCAGAGAGAGGGAAACACAGAATCTGAAACAGGCTCCAGGCTCTGAACTGTCAGCACAGAGCCCGACGTGGGGCTCGAACTCACGGACCGCGAGATCATGACCTGAGCCGAAGTCGGCCGCTTAACCAACTGAGTCACCCAGGCACCCCTCTGATACTAATTTTAATTTGCTTTCATCTGTATGTGAATGTCAGCAGGCAAGACTTACAATTTCCCTGGGCCCTGGAGCACTTTCCACCAGGGAAAGAGAAAGGGCCACCGGTTCCCACAGAAACCTCACTGGTGAGTGTTTCAAATCAAGTCACTGAACTTCTGCAAAACACTGGCTGAAGAATGTCAAGCCACCAGGGGAAATTTATAGTGTCACCCTAGTAGGCTCTTCCCCTTTCTTCCTGAATTAGAGTTTCTGGGGCAAAAGTGCTAGATATTTGCATTTGCAAATCGTTCCCCTAAGTGGTCTGATGCTTGGCTAGATTTCAGACCCATCCCTGAAGTAGGAACTGGAACTTTTTAGGACACACATCAACGTGGATCAGTTGAGGTTTCCTAGGGGTTCTAAAAATCACAGTCTGTGTACGTTTAACCTTTCCTGCTTAAATCTGATAAATAAAGAGGAAAGATTTTTCTAGACCCTATCCGTATAGGAGATGATCATGGTTTTGTTCACCTCTGTGCCTCTGCAGATGTTAATCCCTCCTCTAGAAACCCTTCTTTCCCCCTTCATCCTACCCTATGTGCTCCTAAAAATCTGCTTGTCCTTCGAAGATCAGCTCAAGTGCTCACCTACTCCCTTGGGAATCTGAAGAGCGAATCACTGCTCATGTATCCCTAGTACTGTGGAGATGCCTTTATTATCATATGTGGTGTCATGTGACAATCGCTTCTCTCCCTAGTTTTCTGGATTTTGCTCTTCTTGGGGGCAGCGTGCTCTTGCTGCAACCACAAGACAAAGCACAGAGCTCAACAATGTCGGTCAGGTATAGCCAACTAGCCAACAGGACATAACTACTCTCCACTAAACACATTCTCTGATGAACTCAAAAAAAAAAAAAAATTTACCATTTTATTATGATGTATTCTGACTAATCCCTTAATCCCTATTTTGACAACACATGCTTATTCAAGAGTGTTTAATATTCCTGCTCAATCATTACTAAGGCACAGTACATATCTAAGTAGCAATTTCTACTTAAATAATTGTCATTGAATCGTTTTTGTCTCAGAAAAGCTGGCTTCTTTGGGCGTGTCTTTGCAGCAGCAGACACCGACTGGTCATAAGGAGCAGCAGGGCTGAAGAAAGAGTGCTGGGCCTTTCTACCCCCCCACAGCTGGTTTAGACACTGTATCTTCTGAACGGGTAATAAGTAGGTGGGGCTTTTTTTTTCCTTCATTGCTACGGCATTCAACAAACAAGTCAACAACAGTTAACCAAATCCAGGCACATTTTTGGGTCCTAGGAACACCAAAGAGAGTAAAGCACAGTTCCTGACTCCTGAGAGCTACGTCCTAAAACCTATGACCACACTATCGGCGAGCAAAAGACAAAGCACCAAGGCAACATTTACTTGAAACCTGCACGGCCAACTGAGAGAGTCAAGACAGTTTTAGGGTACTCTGATGAATGGAACACAACCTTTCATCAATACCAGTTCCAGCACCAGTGCCCACGGCACCATGAGGGCCCCTCCACTGAGTGCCTGGCCAGAAGTACATGTGCTCCCATATTGCCATTTGCAAGATGACACATTCAGAAAGGACCAGCAGCAACAGATTTCAGACTACCAGGCATGGGACTTATTTGCAGTTTAGCTACTAACTTTCATGCAGCCATTTTTTAAAAATCTGTATATAGTTTTTAGTGGGGAAAAAAAAAAATATAATATATTTTTTTATATATATATAAATAAAGATATATATATATCTGTCCTATTACCAGAAATCTCTCACACGTCTTCCCCATCCTTCATCTGGAAACTACTCCTCCTTTCCCTTCAAAAAGGAAAAAAAAAAAAAAACCACGAAAAAAAAATTCATGCAGAGGAAGGTAACATCGCTCAATAAATTTCTCTGACCTACTTTTTTCCATCTGAAAAGGAAAATAGTATCTGGCTAATTTAAAATTCTAGAGGCATCTGGCTCAATGTCTCTGAATGGAACATATGAATTTTTTGAAGACTGTATGACAATTTCACACATGATGTTTGTCTACAAAATAATGCAGTTAAGTACTGCTGCCATTATGCAAATTTTCATAAGGCATTATATTCAATTCGATACTGACACAAAGATCAATCAGTTTAAATAAAGCCAACTTTTTAAAGCTTTGTATTAGCATGTTTTCCAGGCCACCCAACTAGGACACTCTGAGTTTAAGATGAAAAGAAATGACATGGCAGGATGATGCAAAGTTTACTTTCTTAAAAGCTAAAAGCAGTTTTAAAGAAAAGATCACGGCCTGTTAACAGAGTCCATCAAGAGTTAATTTAATCATCATGGCTCAAAAGCTTACTGAAGCTATTTTTCAAGTCAAGAACTATAATTTAGGTCAAAACCAGAGAGGCCAAATATAATCTTCCAGCAAGGGTGCTCAGCCTTTCTTTCCAGGTGCTCTTCCCTCAGCAAACACAAGTCAGCCAAAGACTTGAGCAAGCGGGTAACAATACAGGCATGGATACTAAGCTGACACCGCATTTAATCTGTAAGCACAAGCCTTTCTAACACTTCCTCTTTTCACAGAAAAGCTGTTTCCAAATGATGCTTTTTGAAAAAGTACCAATTTCTGTTCTAAGTCAGTTTTGACTCCTAGGGTCACTTTTTATAGCAGTGACCAACTTGCCTATGTGGGTGTTAACAATCACTGTGCTGCACGTCCCAGCAGCTGCTGTCAACCAGGGGGTAGTCAGAGCAGTCAAAAACTCCTACGGCCTTCCCAGGTCTGCCGCACTCAACCTCCTGCCCATCAAGGCTTCCCAAGCTTCTCATCCTCTTCCTGACCTCTGTTATGGGCTGAATTACGCTGTCGTGAAAAGCTTTGCTGGCACCGTAACCCTCAGGGCCTTACTTGGAGATGGGGTCTTTGCAGAGGGTAATCACGCTAAAATGAGATCATTAGGATAGGACCTGATCCAATGTGACTGGTGTCCTTATAAAGAAGGGAAATTTGGACATAAATGCACACAGTGAGAGCATGATGAGAGGATGAAGGTGGAGATCATGTCTGTTTCGATGACCAAGGAATGCCAAAGACCATCAGCAAACCACCAAAAGCCAGGGGGAGACTCCTGGAGTGGATTTCTCCCTCATGGCCCACAGAAGGAACCACCTCTGCGGACACCCTGATCTTGGACTCCCAGCCTCTGGAACTAGGAGATAACACACTTCTGTTGGTTAAGCCCCCCGGTGTGTGGTGCTTTGTTTCACGAGCCTTGGCCAACAAACACAGCTCCACCAGTACTTCTGCTTCTGCCATGCAGTGCCATTGCTCAACGGCTTCCTGGGATTCTAAGCTGTCTGGGGGCAGGGAGCATGCTACGTACTTCCTTACTGCGCTTATGACCTCTGGCCCAGCGCCGGCCTCTTCTGTCCACAACGAATAAGCACTAGCTGAACTGACCCGTGAATGTCACCAGATAGCAGGACAAGTCATTGAGAGGATGGTGGCTGGGCTACCGGTACCACTTCTCCCCTGTGACTGCATGAATCAGAACTCTGAATGAGTCAGAGCTGGCTTCTCGTCAACAGCCAGCTTACTGCTCAGTCTCCAGCAAAGAAACAATATAAAATTTTAAGAAATACAACTTTTTTTCTTAATACTGTTAAGGCTTTGTGCTATTGCTGTTCTGAAGATATATAATTAGAGGTAACTTTCTTCCTATGCTTCTACTTTCCTTCATTATAAGAAAACCAAAAAGGAAAAAAAAAATATATATCAAAACACCCCTAGCAGCATTATTTTTGAAATTGGAAACAGTATCAGTGTTCGGCAGTTAAGTGGGGTGTTAAGCAAATAATAGCAGAAGAATATAGCTGACTTCACAGCAATATAAAATTACAAACATGCAGACTATGTTAACAAACTTAAAAGTATATATATGGAAGCCAAATGAAAGTACACTGAAAAAAAGAACTAATTACAATAATGTAAAACTCTAAGTTCTTTGACATCCCTTTAAAACTTCTAATCCTGAAATCTGTCACTCTAAGTGGTATTCAAAATTTCCTAGCCTATCCTGACTTATGACATATATAATAGTTCTGCATTTGTACAAATAATTGCCGTCTAGATTAGAATACAGTGCTCTAAACATAAGACCCTGTGCTTCCAAGAGAACTTTTAAAAAAGACTTCAGGTCAAAAGAAAGAAAGAAAGAAAGAAAGAAAAAGGCTGAAAAAGCTTGCTGTGAATTACACTATCCATGAAGACTGTTTTTTTGTTTCTCTGGAATTACTTTACTAGAACACAGTGGGGAAATATCATGGGCCACGTTTTGACTACTCTGCTCAATCCTTAGGATATATTTATTTTCAGCTAGTGAGTGAAATATAATCCACTACATGAAAAACTTCAATACTGTCTCCTTAGAGGTTGAAACTGAATAAATGTGATATGTATTCTTTACACATAATAAATATATTAAATATTTATGAGACTTTTAGATGAGTAGAAAAGATATTAAATTCCCTTTTATTAGATATGCTTTATTTCTACTGGAACATGGGGATAGAGTCTCTTCTCAACTCTGTAAAAGCTGATCCTCTGCTTTAAATTATAATTAGGAAGTTTAAAGACAATTTCCAACCAGCCCTATAAATTTAACTTTGTGATAGAATCAAATTTTTTTTTTTTTTTACCCTACCCAAAATAATCATTACATTTCAGGCACTTGATATCAATATCCATCTGTGTTTATATAACACAATTCTCTAAGAATAAAAACATTTTATGCATTTAATTTTACATATTTCCTACATGCTACATTATAAACCAACTAAAATAGTGTTTAATAAGAGGGGGATGAAAGGCCAAAAAGAAAGGGTAATAAAGATGTTATCTGCTTAATTGCAGGTGTCCATCCAACTCAAGTTTTTCAAAATTATGAACTATTTTATAAGGACACGTGACCACAAATTAAAGTCAACATTTCTGACAAGTAAAACAGTCTTAGGATGACAGTTTTGCATCTGTGTGATTCAATATATGGATTTTAAATATGTGGAAAAAGTACAGAGTTTAAATATTAATACATTTAAATATGTAGACTTAATATAAGATTTTATTAAAATCTTAATTTTAATAAAAATTTATTATATTTGTGAGCCACATATATGTGACTATGTCATGTATGTTTATTTACATATAGGAATTAAATGTCAAAAGCAGGTAAAAAGGTACACTGTCCTCCTGTTACATATTCAAAAGTAACTGAAGCAGTTCTACACTTAATGTTTGCTCCTCTGGTACACTAGGTACTATGCAATCAGTTTCTTATTAGCAATGGCTAGCCAAAGAAGTTATAATTCTTAAATTAATGGGTTCCTTATAATTGTCAATTAAGTGTTCACTTATGAATTTGCATGAAATCTCTGAAAATTTCTATTAGAGTTAACTTCCCCAGTTCTTTACAGAAGCCTCTGTTGTTCACATGGGCATTATGGCATAAGAAGTCTTTGTTTTATTTTTTTTTTTTTTAAATTTTTTTTTTTTTTCAACATTTATTTTATTTTTGGGACAGAGAGAGACACAGCATGAACGGGGGAGGGGCAGAGAGAGAGGGAGACACAGAATCGGAAACAGGCTCCAGGCTCTGAGCCATCAGCCCAGAGCCCGACGCGGGGCTCGAACCCACGGACCGCGAGATCGTGACCTGGCTGAAGTCGGAGGCTTAACCGACTGCGCCACCCAGGCGCCCCAAGAAGTCTTTGTTTTAAATGAGAAAGAAAGAAAGGTTAAAAATTTGCCAAGTCAACATCAAATATCCCAAATGCTCAACAGGATATAATTTGCAGATGTTATCATTTATTTCTTCGTGTTCTGTCAAAATATCACTGGAATGTTTTGTTGTATTTAGAAACAAAAGAGTGGGGCTACTTTAAGCTTTTTTACTGCCTGATATAGTAAGATGCCTGGTAGAAAGTGAATTTTTATAGTGGCAAATGTAATCTAATGGATGCCCTATGTAACTGTGGAATACTGGGTGAAGGGGGACAAGAAGTTAAACTTTCCCCAGTAGCTGTAGATTTTAAAATCAAAGCATCAAATGTTAGGCTTTACAGTTAAACAATTTAATAAAGTTTATTTATTTATTTTTTTTTTTTGAGAAAGATAGAGAATGGGGGAAGGACAAAAGAAGAGAGGGAGACAGAGAATCCCAAGCAGGCTCCACGCTGTCAGTGCAGAGCCCGATGCAGGGCTCAAACTCATGAACTGCGAGATCATGACCTGAGCTGAAACCAAGAGTCAGACGCTTAACAGACTGAGCCACCCAGGAGCCCCTAGGCTTCATATTTAAAACACAACTTAGGGAGGGGTATTTGGGTGGCTCAGTCAGTGGAGTGTCCAACTCTTGGTTTCAGCTCTGGTCATGATCTTGTGATTTGTGAGATTGAGCCCTATGTCAAGATCTGGGCTGACAGTGCAGGGCCTTCTTGGGATTCTCTCTCCGTCCCTCCCCAACTCACTCGTGGGTGCTCTCTCTCAAAATAAATAAATAACCATTAAAAAAACAAAACAAAACATAACTTATAGAAACACAGAAAGACATATAGGGAAGAAAGGAAAGCTCTTCCTTAAATAGAATACAAACAGCTACATGCAGAAAAAACAAGAGTTATTAGCAAATCACCACTTTCGACCAACACAGTAAAATTTGACCAAGGTGAGGATAATTTAACAAATGCTGACATTAGTGGATAAAGGTCTGTGAGTAAAAGAACAATGAGACTGTATCAAGCTATCCCCGTAAATTATTTTTAACTACAGAAGAAAAATCAATTACCTTGTAGTAGAGATATCTATCATAGCACCTAAACACAAAGATTAAAGTAATTGCGCCGGTGCTGTATATCCTAATGTGACACCTGAGAAAGATACAGCACCACCTCTGTGATACTCCTGCCAGAAGTGCATGATCTGAATCTAATCATGAGGAAATATCAGACAAATCAAAACCTGAGTTACACTCTACAAATTCTATGTGCCTCAAAATGTCACTGTCATGGAAACAAAACAGAAACTGCAAAGACAAAAGGGGGCCGCAGAATCGATCCAGATTAAAGGTAAGTAAAAAGACATGAAAGTATGACCCTAGACCAGGAAAAAAACAAAAACAAAACAAACAAACAAAAAAACTGGAGTAAAGAATATTATCGGTGCAAATGGCACAATTTGCAAAAGATGTATAGATCGTAGCATTGTATTGATGTTAAATTACCTGATTTCACTAACTGCACCAAGTTTTTTAAGAGAATATCTTGTTCCTAAAAGACCACAATGAAGTATTCAGAGTAAAGAAGCACAAGCCTGCAACTTACTCATATGTACAGATCATGTGTGTGTATAGAAAGAATAAAGAAAATGTGGCAAAATATTAATAATTAGTGAATCTGGGAAGAGGATGTATGGTAATTCTTTGTATTATCCTTTAATTCTTCTGTTAGCTTGAAATTACTTAAAAATACTTTATCTTGTTCTTGGGCTAGAGGTTAGGGTGAGGTAGCAGTATCCTATGCCAGGAGTCCTTTCCACAACATTTGTAAGTCAGTCAACCGATCCCTGCTAATACGACTCTGATGATGAAGAATGTAGGCTGTGAATGTATATATATTGCCTCTACCTAAGAAAGGATTTTTAAGATGGATTGCAATAAATGTCACTTATACAGTAAACAAACAAATAAGTAAATGGAGCTAAAAAATGAACAAAACTGATTCATGATAAAGAAGAATTTCCTTAAAAATGGGGATCAAACTGGCCAAGGCTGAGGCTTGTAAAACGCATCTGAGATGTCCTTTTCCAGTTGCCAATGCTCCCTTATCAGTTCTATTTGGACACTATCCGTCCTTTACCATGTAGCTCTACTGATCTTTCTCTACCACAAAAGTTGTGAAAGCAACCATCTCTTTGTAACCCTGTCCTGAAAAGAGTCTACACCAGGATTTCCAAGGGTTCACTAAGCCAGCTTATTTCAGATTGTACTTGCACAACTCATGTTACTCAGTTACCTTCAGAACAAGCATTTACTTTTACAGATATTTCCAATATGTAGCAAGTGATGTGACCATTGATGGTAGTGATAAAAATTCTTCTTTTTACAACATACTTATCTAAGTAAACTGAAAAAAAAGAAGCAATTTAAAGAAAAAAAAATGCTTACGTAATAAAGCAGGGATATGGCATTTGTGAAAGTAAAGGGTGTTGTAATTATGGAAGTTCAGAAAACACTGATGCTATGCATTGAACATTTCATAATTTGACAAAGCTAAAGAAGTGAATTATGAGATTATGAATTACATGAAAATCTTATAGAAAATACCTGGCTGAAATCAGAGTTTCTTTATATCAGTAAAGATAATATTTCAGAAGGTACACTCAGTCTTTTTTGAAATTAAAGTAAAAACTCAAGATAACCTTGTAATAGATGTACTAAATTATCATCTTAATACTGTTTAGAAAAAAAAAACTGCTGTCTCAACATAAATATTTTAGCCCATGGAAAAGTCTGAAAAAATTTACAAAGGAAAAATGGCGTGACTTACTGAACCCAGAATATTTATTTATACCTTTCTGGGAAAACAAACATACTATAATGATAAAGTTCTAGGGAACAATTCTAGGGTATATTCTGGCTACTTCAATTCTTAACAGTTTTATGGGACATGAAAAATGCAGCCTGCCTTTAAAGAAGAACCCCACATATTTGGTTCCACAACACTAGGCCTTACCAAAGGCTGCTGGGGCTGCATCGCTTGGAGACCAAGGGTCTGACTCTGGGGCTGCGGGGGCTGCTGGGGCTGGGGGGGCTGCTGCATCTGGAACGAAACAGGATTATACTTAAACAGAGGGGTTAATATATTCCAATCTCTTCTCTCCCCCTATATACCTTTTATCTAATTATCTTGTTGCAACAAAAATGATACACACGTTCCTCCTGCATCTTTGTCTTAACAAACATTGTTCATTTGTCCAAGTCAAGACCTAAATTGGCTCTCCCCCGCAGCCTTCTTGGGTCAATACAACCCCAAGGATCTCTTCCTTCGGTAGAGATATACTGCCCTCTGCTGTCCAAGGACATCCTGCATACTTACTGTTTTGATGCCTTTCAGGTCATCTGCCTTTGCACATACTTTATCCTATCTCATACCAGCAGGTTAGACAAGGACTACTCAGTAATTACCTTTTTAGTCCCTATGACATCTGAACAAACTCTTGTAGTTTTGTTTTTGTTTTTGTTTTAAGAAAAATGTAGACTTCTCAAACAAAGGAAGACAGGAAGAGGAGGGGAGAGAAGAGTAATTCTTAAAGATTATAAATTTTTTTGGTGGGGGAGGGCCTGGGTGGCTCAGTGGGTTAAGTGATTTCAGCTCCGGTCATGATCTCACAATTCAGAAGTTGAAGCCTCGCATTGGGACTCTCTCTCCCTCTCTCTATGCCCCTCCCCTGCACTCACTCTCAAAATAAATAAATACACTTAAAAAGAAAAAAGAAAAGAGTTTTTTTTGAGAGAGAGGGTTCAAGTGAGCAAGGGGCAGAAAGAAAGAAGGAGAGAAAGAATCCTTCAAGGAGCAGGGAGGGAAGGAGAGAGAGAAAGCGGGGCTCATGCTCACTGAAGTGGGGCTAGAGCTCACCCAATGTGGAACTGGAACTTATGAACTGTAAGATCATGACCTGACCCCAAAAGTCAGATGCTTTTAACTGACTGAGCCACCCAGGAGCCCAAGAAAAAAAAAAATTAAAGCAAGATGTTTATGTGAGATGTTCTGGCATAAGATACTAGCATAAAGACAAATTCTCTCAGTGACCAAGTTGGCTTAAATAAATGGCTCTTGGAAAACACTTCCAAGTCATGAAGAAACACAGACTAGACATCCACTATGTGGGACACAGAGGAGAGGAAAATATTAATAGGTGGTTTGTCTTGGTGACTTTCAAAGTTTCCTCCATCCGGGCATTCATCTTAATGATGACACTGCTGGACTTCTTTTCATCCTCTGCATTTCCAACTTGGTGTGCATACTATCTTCCAAATTATTTGTCTTCTTTAGGGCAAGGTAACAAATAGCTATTACCAGATGGTATTACCCACTAAGTGCCAATATTGGTTGATATGGAATCCTACCAGGGGGTCTGGGCAGGGTTGCTCCCAACTGGAACAATGCAAGTGGGACCAGGACTATGCTGATTATAAGATAAAGCCAATTCTCCATTTGGCCCACTGTGAAATCTTTCAAGAAAAACCAACTTAACTTCATCATTATTAATTAGTGCCTTTACGGAGGTAGTCAGTCACCACAAACAAAGTATAATCCTGATGCAAAAGTAAATCCCTTTTATCTCCAGGGAATGTGTGGTAAAGAAAACATTACCAGAAGGGCATACTATGCTAATTGGGATAAAAAAGCACATATTAACTAGTAAAGAAAGGCTTTGAAAATCTGCAGCCTTGAAAAGCAATGTAAGACAGGAAGTAGTAAATAATGTAATAACTTTCTTCAGTGATTTGGAAGTGAGAAATTTAAAGCCGAGGGAAATATAAAAATAAATATGAGTCCTATAAAGTTCTGAAAATATATCCTCAGAACCTGAGACAAAATTATTTAAGAAAATATCACTATGACTGTTCATAATAATATTATCAAATGAAAGCTTCCCTTATAAGGAACCATGTTGGAGGCAACAACTGTACAGTAAGTGAGGCTGCCATTTGTAGGCCACACTCTCCCTAAACCAATTACCAATTGTTATCAATTTTGTGATACAACTTTTTCTTCACATTTGAACGGGTAAAAGTTGGGATGCAACTAATGGCATTGTATAACTAATGATATTTTAGAATTATAAAACCCATTTTTCGGGAGGATTTGTGTAAACTTCTGCCTATCACCTGGGAGTACTGTCAACCAGAATTTTTTGGGTCACACTGAATTCAGACCTCAATCCCACTTGAACTTGTGGTTCAAATTCTCAGGGGAGACGTTTTTTTCCCTCCAACCAGTGTCAAGGTTGAGACATGCGCATTACTTTACGGTCCCTTTCTGCACAAGTTTATTGAACTCATTCCAAGAGTATAGCTTTGGGTATCCCAGTTCTACTAGATTCCCTGTCTTTGGTGGTGTTTTTTCTTTCTTAATAACACACAAAATGTCAGTTGCATCTCAAGGTGAATTACTGGTAAGAGTCCACTGCAGAGACTCATCAGATAATATCCAATCCAAAAACTTAGGATAAACTTGTGAATAATGAAGACAAATGGAACAGGTAAACATAAATAGCCTATAGTTCCTAGATGAGTAAGTTAGAAACAAGAATGTGTCAAGGGGAGGAACGCTTTATCTAAGGTACTTAAATATTTACATCAAATAAATGAAGGATAGCTCTCTGGATTCGACCAGAGACAGAATGAAATATCCCTCTAAAATATCCTAGCTATGTAACTCCAACTTCACAGCTTCATCAGACCAAAAGTGTCAGAGATAATTTTTTGGATTAAAGACCCCCTTCTAGGAATCTGATGAAAAAGCTATGGACCACTCAATTTTACTTGTTTTCTTTTTCCCCCCCAAGCACATAAAAGAAAATTTGCCTTCAATCTGCATAGTCCGTAGTTAAACAGTGAGTGGGGAAGCTGACACACACTTTTAGGATAAAGGCAGCCAGTCACCCTCTCGTGAACCTTTGTGAAAGGGGAATGACATTCCGCAAAATGCACCCTCCTGCCCATAACCTGGTAAAGGCACGGACACAGGAAGATCCTTGCCGAGTCGGAACTACATCACCCCGGTTTAGCTCCTAGTGTCAACTACACGGGGCTCTTTGGAACTTGGCGATTCAAGTCTCGGGGCCTCTTATTTCTTAAGACGGCCGAGGGCCCCTCACGCATTGCCCCCATTCCCAGCCGCAAACCTGGAGGAGTCTCTGCTGCTGTCGAACCTGCGGCTGTCTGGTTCTCATTGGGTCCTGAGGCAGGGGCACCGAGGGGAGGCTTGGATGCGTGGGAGTGAGCACTGCATCGATTCCTCCACCTACCAGAGGGCTCTGCTGAAGCGACTGATGATTTAGTCTGGTAAAAAAATAACACAACTTGGTCTCACACCCAGGCAAATGCTTCAATAAGTAACATTAATTGAGCATTTACTCTGGAGAAGTCACAGTGGTGAGAGTCTGAAATGTATTATTTCATTTACTCCCCACAGCAGCCCTTTGAGGTCAGTTTTATTATCCCCATTTTATTTAAAACTTTTAACTGAAAGATAGTTGACGTTTATATTAGTACCACATATTCAACAATTCCATACATTATGAAATGCTCACCAGAATAAGTATAGCTACCATCTGTCACCAAAGTTATTACCACATTATTGACTATATTCCCTATGCTGTACTTTTTGTCCCTGTAACGTATAACTAGAAATCTGTACCTCTTAATACCCTTCATTTATTTTGCCCATCCCTCTGGCCTTTTCCCTCTGGCAACTACTGATTTGTTCTCTGTATTTATTAGTCTGTTTCTATTTTGTTTGTTTCTTCATTGTTTTGTTTTTTAGATTCCACATATAAGTGAAATCTTATGGTATTTGTCTTTCTCTGACTTCAATTAGCATTATACTTTCTAGATCTACCCTGTTGTCACAAATGGCAAGAATTTATTCTTTTTTATGGCTGAGTAATATTCCATTCTGTATACACACATTTTCTTTGTCCATTCATCTACTAATGGACACTTAGATTTTTCCATAGCTTAGCTATTGTGAAATGATGCTGCAATAAACATAGGGGTACATACATCTTTTTGAATTAATATTTCTGTTTTCTTTGGATACCCAGAAATGAAATTACTGCATCATATGGTTTTTCTTTTTCTTTTCTTTTTTTTCTTTTTTTGAGGAACCTTCATACGGTTTTCCATAGCAGCTGCACCAATTCACATTCCCACCAACAGGGCACAAGACTTCCCTTTTCCTCCACATCCATGCCAACACTTGTCATTTCTTGTCTTTTTCATACTAGTCATTCTCACTGGTGAGAGGTGATACCTCAGTGGAAGAATTTCCATTTCATTATCCTCATTTTAAAAATGAGAAAATGGAGAGCTAAAGAAGTGATTTCCCAAAGTTATTCAGACAGTAAATAGCACAGGTGGGATTTAAACCCAGAATGCTGCACTCTGAAGTTCAAGTTCATAGGCAATACACTTCGCTGCCCCTTACTAGAAAAATAATAAATACAATGAATGTTTTTCCAAATTTATTTATTTGCCCAAATGTGCCACCATCAACCATGCCAACGTTCTAAGCACTAACTACTTGGTATTGATGTGCAGCCACTGATTTTCAAACATGGAAGCTAAGCGGCTGTCTAGTATTAGTGCAGAATTTTGCATGAAAATTCTTTGAGATGAACGCTATCCGACAGAACTTTCCACACTGCCTGAAATGCTCTATATCTGTGCTGTCCAATAAGATAGCGACTGGCCTCCAGGACCAGCTACATAATTTCTGGGTTTCAGTGTGAAACAGAAACACAAGGTTCCTTGATCAAAAACAAGTAGGATTTTCAAGAACGTGACAGGAGAGCATTCAATTAAGCCTGGGGGCCTTCTATAGCACAGCACACCATGTGACTGCACAGGTCACACACTTTCAGAGTTGGCTCTGCTTGGCGGCATGTGGCCACTGAACACTTCAAATGTAACAGGTGTGATGGAGAAATTAAACTTTTCATTTAACTTTGATTAGTCTAAACTTAAATAGCCATGCATGGCTGGTGGCTACCATGCATGATGTCTATGGGATCCAAGTACAGCAAGAATGGAGAAAGAGTCTTTCACCATCCTGTTTTGCCAACCATACCTGCAGCAGAAAAGGGGATGACAAGATAACAAAACTCTTACGGGCACCATGCACAACGAGTATTCCAATCACAGACTTTACAGCTCCAAAGTATCCTAGTCAGGCAATGCTAACAATCATCACCAATTTTTCATAGTAAGATATTGTTAGCCAAACATCTGTTTAAAAGAACAGAAACAATGGAGCTAACATATTAGCATTATCTAAACTATTACATCCATACTATGGCAGATGTGAGTTAAACCTCAGAGGCCTTGAATGAAATAAAAAAGATGGGGCACTGCTGATTTTGATCCTCTGTCTGGATGCTACTAAAAATGAGATGACACAATGCAAATTATATGCAAATATGCAAGCTCATAAAAACAATTATAAAGCGCCATGCCCTAGACAATGCATAACAAAGACAAGAATTTGAGTGTCTACTATTGAAATCATTATTTCTACATGTATCACCTCTGAGAGCTGGTCAAGGGCTGCAGGTACGGTGACGCCTGCTGCTGAACATAGCCACTGGGCTGCTGCTGCATCTGTCTGAGTCTTTCCATTAGCGCCGGGTTGGAATGTGTGGCCGGATAGGTCCTGGAGTTATAGCTAGGAGACAGGACCACGCCACCAGCCTGCTGCTGAGGGGTCGGCTGCAAAGGCATCTGCGTTCCATACATCGTATAGCCCTGGGGCATGGTCTGGAGGTATGGGCACAAGGAGTTAAATTAATGTTTCAGTAAGCACCACCTTTGCTATCACTGAGTCATAGGGGGCAAAAACAACCCCAGAAGGAGCTCCCTGAAAGCCACTGTTCTCTAAAGCTCTTATAACTCAACATATGAGGAAGACTACTCTGGAAGCAAGAGGCTAGCAAGAAAGCTATAGAATGAACTAGGTGGATAATGATTCACCAGAAATTTCAATTAAAAATAAAAATGAATCCTCATTTGGGTTAAGAGATCAGTTTTAGAATCAGTTGCTTGTTTTGAGGGAAAGAAGGATACATTTCTTTATAGAAATTATCAGGTAAGCATCCAAACCTGAAGTACACAGATGACATCAATGTTCAACAGATCCCAAGCATAATTAATTTCATTTCCAAAATTAGAAAGAAAAGCTATCCATGTCCAATGTACATTAAAATTATAGAGTACGCTTTCCTGATACGGAACTATACCTCCTTGGAGCTGATGAATTTGCCTGTAGTGACTAACCAGTTACCAAAACAAATAAACAAACAAAACCCAAAAAAACCCAGACCAACCAATACCTTAACCAGAGAGTAAGGTATAACTGGGGAATATTCGATATCCTCTAGACCTGGATGGGCTACACCCTTTTTTCAGCATTCTACCAATACTCTGAATATTTAATTTTTCTATTCAATATTACTATATGAGTGTTTATATCTTAACACCTAATGTAAATAAAAAATGTAATAAGGTTCTGCTGGGTGACTACAATTTATAGAATGGAATGCTGATTTAAGAAGAAACCTGCTCTTCAATCCTCAAAGAACCACATTCTAGTTCACGGCTCTGACTCGGAAGACACAGTAATGACTAATCAACTTCCAGCTGACAGGATGCAAGGATCTGGCTGTGGGGCTCGGCACGTCTGAGAGCCAATCTCAGATTGCCTTTCATCTGTGGGCATAGTGTGACATGTTAGCCCCACGAGCTGTCTTGCCAACATCCCTGGGCTCCTAATTATGAAAGGGACAAAGTAAAAGTATACAGAAGCAGAAACAACAAAATTACTAGAAAAAAAATAGCTCAAGAGTTGCATTATATTAAGGCAAGTCCATCATTTGTTGAGTGGCTACCATGGATCTGGTGCTGTGCTGGTTCCACAGGTTCTTAAATTCTCACAATGCTCATCTCTATTTGACAAAGAAGGAAACCAAGACAGAATAACACGCACAATGTTACATAGCTAGAAAGGTGTCAGGAATTGTGCCAAGGTCTAATTCCAAGGCCAATTACCTTCTCACTCTACCATGATTCTCTGCAAACCTATCTTTCAATAGGATAAATTCAATCATGAATTACATCAGTATTTATTATAAAGTAAAATAAGTACTCTGGGACTGTTAAGCATTTCAACACCTACCATCATCGTTAATGGAATGATTAGATTTTTAAATCAAGAACTCTTTAAAATGTTTTATGCTCTTCATTCAGTCCGAAGGTTTGTTCATCACTGGTGATGCATTTTTTTAAGATGTCAACTCCAATCTATAAGCAGAAGTACTACCTTCTAAACCCCGTAAGGGAGCGGATATCCTATCCACTTGGTTTCCCACTTCAAATAAACAACATTAAAAATCCCAGCAGCATCTACAAGGCAAATGTGGGTACCTGTGCTTGCTGCAGCCCTGGATACTGGGGGAGCTGAGGGGAGGGCCGTGCTTGTGCAGCAAAGAGAGCAGCCTGGTCCCCTGGCGGGCCCTGGAAAACAAAGCCAAAGCAAACTCTTGATCATAACAGCAAGAACTTGATTTGCACTCCTGGCTAAGAACCCCAATAACCCATGACACCAAATCTTATTAGATGACTACAGAATTTGGAGTTTTCCAAACAGCATTAAATAGAACTTTTTCTATGTGTGTAGAGACTATTAAACTTATCATTTCTGCCAAAAACTATAGATGTCCCAACAATAATACATACATTAAATACAAGCCAAAATAACCAACGGTCTACTTATCAGAGAGGCTCTGAAACAGCTCTGCTGTACACCCCAGGATACAAATGCCACTTTCGAGTGAAAGGCATGAGGCTGTGTGAAATCTGAAAGCACGGAGTTGTACCATTCTGTGCCCATAAAAAAAGAGAATACGAGGGGCGCCTGGGTGGCGCAGTCGGTTAAGCGTCCGACTTCAGCCAGGTCACGAACTCGCGGTCTGTGAGTTCGAGCCCCGCGTCAGGCCCTGGGCTGATGGCTCGGAGCCTGGAGCCTGTTTCCGATTCTGTGTCTCCCTCTCTCTGCCCCTCCCCCGTTCATGCTCTGTCTCTCTCTGTCCCAAAAATAAATAAAAAACGTTGAAAAAAAAAATTAAAAAAAAAAAAAAAAGAGAATACGAGGTACAAATTTCATTGCTTTTTAATGAAGGTTCTTCACGGTGACCTACCAATTGTCTATTTAACCATGTGGTCAAGAGATGAATTTGCATCTCCTATGACTAATCATCAATTAGAATAACTATCAATAAAAATTCACAATACATTAACTGCAAATGTAACTCTGACAATAATAAAATAAAACCAATTAACATCTGCTCACCAGTCTTAATTTAATACATGTTTTGCCCTTTGAAAAATAAATCTAAGAGCCACTGTATGTGTTTTATGTTATGGTGTCAGAAGCTATTTCATGGAAGCTTGCAGTAATCATCATGGAAAGAGGTCTAGTTTCCAACCATCCCTAGATTTTTACAGCACTTACTAATTACACAGAATGGGGTTTATTCCAAAATATTTTACTCTTGTCTTATAGATGTCCGCATTTTTCAAAAGTGTTAAATTATAGTTATATAAAACCATTTAATGTGCTTGGAAAGTAGTGTAGATTTTTCTAGCAGGCAGAAAGTGACAAGCATTTAGCTTTAGAGGGTGAACACCAACAATTATTGGACATCTATTCTATTCCAGAGACTGGACTTCTTGTTCTCACCCCCATTTTCTCACAATAAATCTGCAGGGAAGAGAGTATCGTCCTCACTTACATTCTTCAGATAGAAGAAGCCAGGCTCAACGAGCTTAAGCAGCTTAGCAAGCTCATTGAGCTAGACCTGGCAGAGCTATTATCTGAACGCAGGTGAGTCTGATCCCTAAGTCCAGGGCTCTTTCTGTTAGGACAAAATGTCTCCATATGCAATATTAAAAATGGAAATATTTAAATCCTCACTTGGTACTTATTCTTTACGGATATATAGCCTTTAAAACTCACTCCAACAACAAAAAAAAACCCCCAAGATATCTATAAAGACTTCTTACTGAAATGCTGAAACGAAATGCATATATTATATAGTAAAATCCTTTCTCGGTTCCTCATATAAAATCACTTGAGGGCATTTATGAAACTTCAGCCTTTCCTAAGGTGACTATCCACCCATATATGGACCAAATACAAAATTTCTGAGAGTGCGTATAATAGCTTCAACAAGAATCTACATTTCCAGAATAGGGTACCATGAAGATATCCTCAGGCTTTAGCTGGTTAATCTAAGTGCAACTGTGTCTATATTTACTCTATATGCACTTGAATCTAAGGAAAATATCCCAAACTCCCTCTATGAAAAGTCATTCCATGGCAGTGTGACCATCCAGGCCCTACCACTATTCCCCTCCCAGACTATTTGAAAGGTTTTTGATTTTTCAAACACTATGCCTAGAAGTCATTAAATCAACCACTTCCTTAAATGCTACTCCTTAATTCAGTGCTCCCGGACACTGTAGTACAAGGTCCCTGCAAGATACGATTTTGCTTCTTTGTGGGGGACAAATATTTTCATATTATCATTTCTACAGAAGGGGGAAAAATAAGTTACTTATATATTTGAGTTAAAGTCATGATATCCACAAGTGGTCTACAATTCCCACATCCTGCTTTGGTTTAAAAGGAAACAAGATGTGATCTGTATATGACAGCTACATGCAGATGCATAAAGATATTTTCAAATTCTTCACTCTTCCTTTGCTTAGTGAAGAACCCTATGAAATGAACTATGACTTACATGTGGAGAAACCCAGAATACTAATAAGGTAAATATCTGAGTTACCGTGCAACACTTTTATTGACAAGTTACAGTTGCAATCATGGACATTAAAGAAATATGAATTTAAAACTATTCTACATAAAAAGAAAAATCACAAAATTAACATTCAAGGAAAACCACTAACTTTTGAAGAAGCAAAGAGAAAGGGATAAGAAATTTCAGAGACAGGTTTTACACTGTAAAATTCATGCATTCTTTGTTAATCATTTTTTGCCTAAAGGGAAACTATTTATTTATGGACATACTGTATACCTCCTACCTCCAATTTTTCCCCGACTTAAGTACAGTAGGTAATAATTGAGATACACAATATCATTCCTGGGAAAATCAAACACTCTGAGTTGGCCACCAGTCCCCACGTGCTCTGTGCATAGCTGTATCATCATGTTTCCTTGAATGAAAAATATCCCATTCTCTCCCACCAAACTAAAATGCCCTATTTTTGTTTTTCCTGAGAATAATGCTAGAAACATTATGTCAAACATTCTGTCAATTTGTAGAAATAGTTGAATGTGTTGAATAAAGAATGAATAAGGAAAGCTCTTCAGTAATTTGAAAGACTTTACAAATGCTAACCAAGGGCCATAATGTGGGAATAAGCAAGGATACTAAAGACGAAGATTTAGTAAGTTTCTTAAAGTTGGCAGGGTAGTTTTGCTGCATCAAATCAAGAACAGACTATGCATTGTATCATCCAAACAAGGACAGGCCAGGACAAGGGGTACAGAGTGGAACCATGCTTGGCAAATCAGGAAATATGGTCACCTTAGTTACACGTAATCCATTTATCTGTTATTTTCTGAAAACTTTCTAAGATTTATTTTTAAGCAGTTTTTAGCATGGTGTCTGGCATATAGTAACAGCTCAATAAATACTATTGAGAAAATCTAAGACTCAATTTAGTTTATCTGTTAACCAAGAGTTCTAGAAGTAAACTGGGATTTATATTTCAGCATATATTAGTTTACCAAGTGCTTTCCAATTGCCCCATATTTTTTAGCACAATCTTTTATTTCGAAAATTCAGTTTTAATTATTAGCATCTATCATTCTAATGATTACTTCTTGTTACCTGCATCAATATCTGAAAACTAGCTCCATTTCTCCCTCTTGATTTATTCTGTCTAACTTAAACAATCAAAGGTAACATTAACTTCATATTTTTGCAAAGGATAATTCAAGAGGCTGGTTTTTGACCGAATATTTGTGCCTAGCCAGCTGCCATTTGCCTTTGAGCACATTACTGGAAAAGAAAATAAGACATGTTTGTGCCCCTGTTCAAGCCCCCATGGCTCAGATACCCAACTTACATGTGCTAAAGGAATAAACCACAATTAACTGGGAAGTTCTGATAATCACATACACTCAACGGTACATTGCTCTCTGAGAAAAATTCCTACGTGTGGTCTCTCAAGTTCATTTCTATGCATTTTGCTTCACGCTTGCTTCTACAGAAGAAACGTAAATCCAACGCATTTTACAAAAAAAAAAACCCACTTTCTAAAAGCTTCTTAAAAAGCTGTGCTATTCAATAGTAACTAATTTTCCTGGCCTTTATAAGAACAACTCTCTCTTCCTGCTTTATTTGTAACTAGACAAGAGAACTATCTGAACTCAAAGAGGTGTTGACTCAAAGTCCTTTCACATAATTTGAAATGATTTGCATAACTTGAAATAAATGCATCCAGTAACTTTAAAGTTCTTGGTAAATCATCATTTTCATTCTTCTGGGTCTTGTTCTCTTCATTTAGCAATTACTCCCCCTTAGTCAACTGAACAAATGTGAAGACCTCTTTCGGAAAGAGTTGGTTAATCCTACAATAGGCAGACAGTAAGCATTACAATCAGCAGCATCTCAGGAGCAGGGATTTTTCTATTCACTCAGTTCACTAGCAATGATTTGAAATCCCTACTTAGTAACTTTTCAAGGGTGTTTCAGTGTCTCAGAGAGACAAGTTGTACCTGAAAAACCACAGCCAGATTTTGTGACTTTCTGATAATGCTGATTGAAGGATAATAAGTCAGTGGGTAATGTTTTGTGAGTCACCTAGCAAAAAGGGTTTTATTTGTTAGTACTAGTTTGGAAGATACTGAGTAATGGTGCCCAAGGCTAAAACAACACATGGTGTGAACCAGAAATTATGGTCATAACATCACACTGGTGTATTTTGATTACAGACAATAGACACAGAGAAAATTCTATAATTACAAGAGGTCCAGTTGACCAGTTATGCTTGATTCTTTTATAACGCTTTCATATAAAATTAAAGTTGGTTGGGAATCAACTAACAGTAACATTAATGGCTGGAACAAACTGAATCATTCTAAAATAAACACCTCACACAATAATGAACTTTTACAATATATTCTATTAATATGCCCATAAATGATGAATATATGATTGGTTTAGTATATACATTCATGACATTCTTAACCCTGGAGAATGTTAAAGGAAAATAAGAATGGTGAAAAGGACAGCATAGATATATATACACATTTCCATTATTTTGAATGAAAGCATAGAACCTGTTGACTTTAATACTTGACAAACATTTGGTGTCAAAAAAAGTAAAATCAATGATTGATGCAAATTTTCTTTTATCCAAATTACATGATCATCTGAACAAAATGCCCAACAGCAAACATAAGCTATCTCCAAAATATTTTTAAT